ACCTGAAGTATCACTATTCCGATTATACTCAATTTTCCGCTGTTTGCTGTTTGGACTGTTGCTTTTGCTGCGTGAATTTTACCATGTTTAATTTCAGCCAGAAATATTGGATTAACAGCCGAAATAGTGGACCCTGTGTCGACCATTGTTCTTGTTGTCGTTCCATTCACTGGGATGTTGACGAAGATTTGTTTTGATGGTTGACGATGATTGGTGGTGGCGTTACCATCATGCGACACCACTAAACTTTTGGGTAGTAATTTGCACGGCTAGATCGACATTCACGAGCAAAATGACCGGGTTTACCACATGAGTAACATTCAGTTGATAACGAATAATAGTCTGGATGTTGCTGCCGATATGATGGGCCAAACCATCGGGTTGAAGGCTGACTTCTTGGCCATCTTTCTTGTTGTTGCTGACGAATTCTACCACGAGTATTATAACTAAAGTACTTCAGTTGTTGTGAGTCGTGAAGATAAGATTGACGCCGATGAGTGAGGTGTGGTTGAATAGCAGCCATTTCTTCAGACACTTCTTCTGTTACTGTTCTTGTCGTTGCTATTGAAGTTACTGGTGTTTGAATTGCTGCTGCTGCTTCCGATCTTTTGGCTTGTGCGAGCAACTCTAAGCAAGTTTTGGGATTGAATGGGATTGTCATTTGAGCCAGCGATAGTTTCAATCCACGTTGAAGATGCAATAATTTCTGTTCTTCACCCATCCGATGATCCAATTTAGTACACAAACCCAGTACATCAAAATAATAACTCTGGACAGGCTCATTCAGTCCTTGGCGGCGATTTTGTAATTTTGTGGATATATTTAATTTTTGTGTTGTCGCTGTAAATGTCGTGATCAATTCCTCCTTGAAGGTCGTCCAGCTGCCGTCGATTGTTGCTTTTGCTTGCTTGTACCACTTCGCGGCGTCACCACTCAAACACTGTGCAGCAATTGGAGTTCTGGCATCATCCTTAACATTTGCAATAGCCAAAATTGTTTCAATTTCATCGAGCCAATCGGATGGATCTTGATCATCTGCACCAGAAAAGGGTTCAGCACCTTGTACGCTTTTTGATAATAACAAATTTTGCAAACTCAATGTCATTTCTTTTCTTTCTTCTCGTTGACGTTTCTTCTCTTCTTGTTTGTGGTCGTATTGGTCAATTAGTGGTTGCCGTTGAGCTGCTGTTGTTTGTCGGGTGTCCAGCCTCACAAGGGACTGTTAACTAATAAATTATACACTTACTTGAATCCAAGAGTTCAATCTGGGTAGAACCTCCAGTTGTTACGTAGCGTTTTATACGTAACTTGTATCCTTCTTTGTGTCAGTGCCAATAATGAATTATGTTTTCATATTTTATTAACAAAGATATTTACATCAGAGAACGAGAACATTACGTCAGAGAATGAGATTTTCTACGCTTCCTAACAATCATCATAGAACACAGTGGTAAATCAAATCATCGGATAGAGCATGCTTTTCTCTACAAAATGAGGTATCTTTTAGTCTTCGATGTTAAGAAACCACTTAGTTACAAGGAGTTTGAAATTATAATACGAAAATTCTAAATTCTAAATAACACGGACTTTTTTGGTGTAAATAACTTCTTTGCACGTTTACGCTACCGAAGAAGGTTGGAAGCCTCAAAAATACCTCATTCTATAGACCAAAAGACGCGATTGAGGGTATGTTTCCTTATACAGCAACATGTTGCAGTGAGCACAAATACAAAATTTCATTACGATCGCTCATATTCTTTAGGAGTTATCGTGTAAACGGCCGGAGAGACGGTGACACACTGATCGATTCTATAGTATACTCACGTTTTGAGTACACACAAAAGAAAAACTTTGGCTCGAGAAAGCAAAAAAAAGCTCTTGTTTGGTGTCTATTCTTTATGGCTGTACAGGGCACGAAAATATTTCATTTCAAATGAAAAAATATTAAAAAAGATGTGGTAAAAAATGGTCGATACTTCCAGTACACTAATACCATCCAATACCTAGCAAGAAGCAACAATATATACAAATTAAAAAATGAGTACATATAGGTAAATTCGACAATAAAATCGAGTTTTTCAGATGAGTCACGGATAATCTTCATGTCTTTGTTCAGCACTGGTAAAAAAGCATGACTGCTTCAGCTGTTCAGATCGAACTAATTTTTGAATAGCATCACAATACAATTAAAATAGTAAACGCTAACTCATATCATTAGGTCTTGACATACAATATAAAGATAGAAATTATAAGCAGTAATGATGACAGTGAATGTCATGAAAATAACAGATTGTAAAACAAAGTTTATTCATGAACGAAGTCTAATTTCTTTCAAACGAAATAAAAATTTCAGCATGTAGAAACGTATTAGTATTAGAGTAAACGGCTTAATTGGACGTTAATCCATCCTGAAATCTTAGCATTTGGAAATAACAATTTTATCCTATTATCGTTTAAAGCATCGTATTCAAATGAACGTCTACCAATACGTACATCTCTAATACGATCACATATTGATTGTAATGGTTGAAAAGAAGAATCTTGTGAATTTCTCAATACATCTAACATCAAACTCTGTAGTGTGTATAATATTAGAACGTTCGGTGTCATTAACAATAGTTGTCTGAAATGTAGAAAATTTAATTTATCGAGGTAAAATACCATGCAGATTATTTTTTTCATCACCAATAAATTGTTCAGCAAATTATCACTTAAAAAATGAACAGGAGCGTCAATAAATACGAGTTGCTTCGCTCTTGGAAATGATTTTTGGATAATCTGAAATAATTCTAATGTATACGGAACTTTATTATGCAAAGTAATTTTTTTCGCTTTGTTTCTTTTACTGTGTAACAAAATATTATCGTTGACATTTGATCGATAATTAACGAGATCATTTGTAACATAAGTGAATTCATCAAACATATAGGGTAATGAAAATACACAATAACGTGGACATTGTAGCGGTTGATTAAAACATAAGATTGAATGATTATTATTAATCCAATAAGAAGACTTATATGTTTGAATATAATCGTCTATGTTTAATGTGTTATCGACAACTCGAATACGAAAACAAAAATGAAATACTATCAATTTTGTTAGTTTTGATAATAACTTTTTTTCTAAACGTTCACCATCAATAAATTGATCAATATACAAATTCAATGCTAAGTATTCTAGATTAGAGCACCAATGAGATAATAACAATTCTAAATAATCATAATTAACACTAAAAGTACCGTAGAATACAAGCTCTTTCAATTTTGGTAATGTCAAAGGAATATTTTTATCATAATAATGAAATTCGATGTCATTTTGTTGTTGTTGTTGTGGTATATGAATATTTACAGATTCGATTGAAGGTAAATTGTTTAACAGAACATATACACTATCGAAAGAATGTAATTTTATTATTAACTTTCTAATAGAAACACATCGTTGAATGATATGAGGATTGATGGGTACATAAATATTTTGAAAATATAATGTTTGTAATCGACAATCAGATTGAAATAGATTTGAACATAATTCGTGTGATACAGTTTTATAATCTTCTCCGTTACCATAACAAATTCTTAAATTAAGTAATTGTTTAAACAATTTTAAATATGATAAATATTTATCATCTTTTTCAACTATCGTTATAAAAAGTGACTGAAGATTCGGATATATTTTAGAATATAGCCATAATGGAAAAACCGAGCCAATATTTTTATCATCAACTTTGATTGATTTGATATAATGATGTATTTTTGGTAAAATTGTTTGACAATACTTGTTCAACGTACATTCATCGACATTGGATAAATCTATTGTGCATATAAATGGATAAACAAGATTATTAAAACGACCATTTAAGTTGAAAAATGAATAAACAATATCAATAGGTTTTAAATAGAGAAAAATAAAGTCAAATAATTCATTTGGTAGACTTGATTCTAATGTTGACATTTCCTAGAAGAAGAATATCATTATATGCCAGATTAAGAGTAAAATCTCTCAAAAGGTCAGGAAAACGAGTTTTAGACACATCACAACACAACCTGAAAGGCTTCCTAGATTCTAGAAGTAGATAATGTTGCCAAACAACTGTACACGAATCTGCTTCAAACCCATTCTTCTACAGTTGTTAGAGGCCGCTAAAATTGATCTTTCAATCTTATTTTCAGAAACAGAATATTCAGAAAAAAGTGATGAAACAAACCAATCGAATAAAATGCACAAGTCTGTATAAAAAAAGCATTTTCTACACTATTGAAATCATTCAGATCAGAGCACTGATTATATACATTTCCAAGAAATCAATTAAAAAGATACATTTGACTCTCGATATTTTTTTTGACTATTGTCATACAAAAACGTATCTAATTCTTTCTTCATCTATTTGTACTATCTGCGAACTCACAATCTATAGGAATAAATCTTTTGTTCGGATTTTGACAATCGACTTTCCTTCCCATTTGTCTAATAACCAAAACTAATCTTTTCTAATCCTTTAAAAAGAATCCTTTATATTGGCAGTTCATAGCTGTGCTCTTTAAAATATATAAGCCTAATGCTTTCTCTTAATCAACTTTTTCTAGTTTTAATAGACCACATGAATTGCACATGAAAATGTTACTTATTATGTTTCACAACTGATGCACTGAAAAATGATCAGAAACTATGCACATTGTCTATATGTTTAACTATCAATCATTGTGAGACAATTTATGACTATTACGTCCTTTACCATTAACTTAAGCTCTAGGAAAGAGTTGTGATAAATAATCGAATTTTCTACAATTAGTTTAATTTAGACTAAGAAAGTCTTATACCTAAGGCGCGGGTAATTCAAAGTTTCAGCAGATGATATATCTGTATGAAGCATACATCAGTCGATAGCCCTTGAAGAGGTGATCCCAAATATCACCTTTGAAAAAATTCTAGTCCTTTCCTTC